CTGAAATCAATTTCCTCAATTGATTGGGTATGCTGCCATCGCTTCAGATAAATCAAGCCTCCATTCACCGACCAAAGGCTCCCCTCCCAAAGTCCTCGCTCAGGAAAGAAAAGGTAAAGAGGTTCTGGGCTCATGTTCGCTTATATGAGTTTCTCCTCATTCTGTTCATGCTTTAGGAACCACAGAAACGACCCCAGCCGAAGGCAGAGGAAATTCATTGACGAGAGGGTTTCTCTCGACTGATGCCATGAAATTAGGGAAAAGACTTAAAAAGACAAGTGAAAAAGAAGCAAAGGACCCATGGGACAACCCTATTGAGTAAATGAAGGTCTCATTTGAAAGAGAGAAAATTTTTATTAAATTAAACAAAGTATTTTTCCTTTTTATGGAAAATTTAAACAAAGTACTACAAAGAACAAAGTTACAAGAAGCCCTCCTTTTATTATCTGTATAGTAGAAGGGCAAACCACTCTAGTGAAGAAAAATAAAGACTTAATTAACTTTAATCTTACAAGCTCCACGGTTTGCGAGGAGGTAGGCTTCAACAGCCTTGAACAGTCCCAAGGCTTTTTCTCTCTCCGCTTTGACATCTTCTTGCTTGATATAAATGTCACCAATGGTATAATGGCTGCTGATGCTGATGTTGCAAATGGAACCTCCATCTGGAGCTGCCATAAACTTGATATCGTGAGAGATTTTCTCGAGGTTGTTCATCAGAGCATCACCTTCTATGACACTATAGTTGAATGAGAAGCCCTTCTCGTCGATTGCTTCAATCTTATGCTTCTTATACTTGACTTGGCTTCCTATACATAAAAAGCAGTTTAGTTAATTGCTTGTGATATGTGAGGAGCTAGAAATAAAAACAATTTAGGTAATTGCTTGTGATATGCGAGGAGCTAGAAATGATTATGGAAACTAAACCTTCTCCAAAGGTGATTTTTTTAATGCTTCCAGGGCCTCCATCTCCTTCAATGAGTTCGACATTCTGAATGGCCTTTGGAACAATAATCTTGGGAATGAGATTGTCATAATCAAAGACAAGGGCCCTGAACATCCGAGCTGGGGGGATCTTTGTGGTGACTTCCATTTTATCGGTGAAAACACCCATTGTAGCCTGCGAAATCTGAGATCAATGAACAAAAGAATGCCTGGTCTGTCTTTTATAGAGAGTGTCTCCCTTTCTGCTTCATGAGAAACGCTCTCTCCAGCTTGCGTCGACACTCTCGTTGTGCTCAAGATACAACTTTTTCCGCCTTTTATAGAGAGAGGTAGGCTTAAGGACGGTTTGACATGAACAAAAAAATGGATACCTGTGCTCTATTACTTAGTAGTATCCATTTGCCCTATTACTTAGTAGGTCCCATATATTTTGACCTGAACAAAAAAATGGATACCTTTGCTTTATTACTTAGTAGGTCTCATATATTTGTTTGACGTGAACGAAAAAATGGATACCTTTGCTCTATTACTTAGTAGGTCCCATATATTTGTTTGACGTGAACGAAAAAATGGATACCTTTGCTCTATTACTTAGTAGGTCCCATATATTTGTTTGACGTGAACGAAAA